TTGTACTTTTATGGTGAATAAAGACGTATTATTATTATTATTCATATTATTATTATAATTTATAGTAATAATTCGTCTTTTAATGTAAATCAATTTGATATTATTATTATTATTATTATTGACACTGATAATATCAAATTAATCGTATGTTTGATAATGCTGATGGGTAAAGTCTCTGAAATGTCACCAGATAAGTATACAAATAAAATAGGTTTCTGCAGTTAGAAATTTGAACATCTGAATTTCGGGTTGAACCGCGTTCAAAGTTTTGCATTGTTTGACGTTTCGGATTCGACTTTGAAGCTATTTTCAAGAAGTAAAAAAGTATGGCTATACTGAGAGACATACTTTAGGGTTATTTGTGTCGTACATTTCTTCCTGGATGATTATATTGAACATACGGGCAGCAGTTCTAGCACTATTTCCATTCTGGTAGTACAAAGTCACTATTTCAATCCATTATCGAAGAGTATAAACCATTGCTTCTCAAGAATTCACAAAACCAGAAACACCAATTGTACTTCACCTGGTAATCGTTATTGTAGAATGAGACAAATACAAAATGAAGAGAATATCAAAATCAAACTTAACTAGGAAAAATAAGACTTTTTTGAAGTATACTTCACAAAAACACCCATAAAACCTAGGTCACAGATTGTACAGAAGTTCATTCAGGATGGCTCGTTTTTAACTCAAATAATTTTTAGCCAAACTATGAGCTTCAGACCATAATGTATTTCTACTTTGTTGAAATCTGTTCATCATGGAACATCTGATAATGCAAAACAATTGATCCATTTAAGAAAAAATGGTGACATGTTCTGGGGATGCTATAGGGAAAGGTAGATCAAATGTGAATATGGCAAAATGTGTCCCCCTGTATACTATTGTTGAAATTTTTTTTATTTTTCTTGAAAATCATTCTTCCAAAAGTTATTCAGGGTGGCTCGTTTTCAACTCAAATAATTTGTATCTCCCGAACCGTAAGCTACAAACCATATGTTTTATACTTTGTAATGTAATGTAATCTTTATTATTATAGGATACATCCTAATCTTACAAGACATAATAACTAATTAATAATTTAAATTTCCACAGTGCCAAAAATATTAATAAAATTCAAATATGTATATAGATAATAACAATAATGAAGAATCTTAATATAATTCTCATGCTCCTATTTTGGAGTTTTTGAAATTGGGAAAGCCTATTTTGGTTTATTAAATGCATTAAAGTTGGACAGTACTCAAAATGAGGTTTAATTATACAATTATATGTTAATATTCTGGAGTTAATAGTCATATTATTTGCTATCCTAGAAAAAAAATGTAATTTTTTTGAAGCATCTAATAATACGAAACAATATAGGGTGATCCATTTAAAAACTCGCCGTTGATAGTTTTTACCTTTTTTAAGATAGTAAATAACAATTATCCCAGGCGCATCCCAAAAAACCGATGCCATGATCTTGCCTGCAGATAAATCGGTCTTCGCCTTCTTTGGAGTCGGTTCTTCCTTTCGAGTCCACTGTTTTGAATGTTCTTTTGTCTCGTGTGTAAAGTGATGGACCCATCTTTCATCCATGGTTATGAAACGACGCAAGAATTCTGCTTTGTTGATCTGAAACTTTGTTAACACTTGAATGAAACATCTTCACGACACTGTTTTAGCTCAAGTGTGAGCAAATGCGGCACCCATCTTGCACACATCGACCACTGTGTTGCTCATCTTGACAGCTTGTATGGCCTCGTTTAAACTCTGCTACCCAATATTTTACTGTTGTTAACGATTTTCACAAATTTACCGAAAACGTTCGCTACAGGTGCCAAACAAATACTTAACAACGCAGCGTCTTCAAACTTGAAGCGTATTCTCTATAGATTGTGTACTTTCTAATACAGTGATATATTCCAAACAACTACCGCCATCTCTAGGTCAGACCGGGTGCTTCTGGGACCACTCTCGTATATCTTACATTTCTGCCGAATCATTCTTTATTTCTCAATACGCTCTTGAAATGTATGAACCATTTTTTCATAGTATGAAAGATAAACGCCCATCTTTAAGCACAACAAAAATAAAAAACTCTAATAATGAAACTAAGCTGGCAGTCCCTATCTCAGAATAATTTTTGACATTTTCAGCAGTAACTAAATGATGAAAATCAGGACCATATCGTGGTAGGTACTTGAACAAGAATTTTTCCACCGAGAAAACCAAAGTTGATGTGTTTCACATTTTTTTTATAATTTCAATATCAACGAATTTCTTCAGGGTGACTCATTTCAACTAAAATGCATTGACTTTCTTATTAGTCAGTGAGCTATGCTTCAAGACTGGCAGTAAACAAATCTAAATAAATGAACGTTAAACGTTCAAGCCAGTCTCGAATATACCTACACAATAGGTTAAATGGACTGAGACCTATCAGAAAACAACTACTCCCCTGGCTAATAACACGAAGGGCGTTGTATTATATCCGACAGGCGTCAGTGCAGGAATCTTCACAGAAAATTTCCTGCATATGCAATTGGCAATACAACTGAAAGAGTCTACCTTCAATTTTGGAACAAGCACACTTGCAGACCGGTTTCGGGCTCATTAGCCACTCATCAGTGCAAGATACTGGCCATCATCGACCAAAAGTCAATGATATTCCATAATTCAAAATCGGAATTCTTTCAGAGTATTTCATTCCTCTTCCTAAGTTGGAGCGAACAACAAAATGTCGCTCCATCTAGTGGACGATCTAGTGGACAAATGCATTGAATTTGTTTAATATCATCTAGTCTAGTTAATATTCACTAAATATCTATAAACATTATTTTAATCATTTTAAATTGTTATCTTTTTTATTTTATGTCAAGGGATTGATTGTGAAGCAGCTCGAAACGAAGAGGAGATGATCATGTTGAGGGATGCCAAAGATTGGTTAGCGACTAAAAGTTCCTTGGTGAATGAACCACACCCCAAAAATGGCTCTACAGCTCTGCATGTGGCTGCAGCTAAAGGTTATATGGATGTGTTAAAGTAGGTAAAAGTTTCAAATATTTTTCTTTCCGTTAGATCAAGTAATCCATTTCAAAGTAATTGTAGCTCAGGAGCAATATTGCTATATAATTCACTCACAATGTTTGATTAAGATATATCCACTCACTCCTGTTCCTGAAACAAGAAAATCAAATTGCAACAATTTGTGACTCACCTGTTTTTCAGTATGTAATTATTATGGGTCGTCCTGTACATTAAAATGTTCAATTTTCAACTAATGCGTCAGTACCAAAAAAATCCAGTTCTGTTCTTTAATTGTCAAAATGGTGTTAAAATGTTGAATTATTTCCTTCAATCTAACAATTCGTGTTTTGAGAAAAGAAAAAACAAAAGTATTCTACTTGAAATATTAGGGATTTATAAAGTGTTCATAAAATTTTCTATAGTTCCTTGCTAGTTAATAGGTCATTCGATTTTTTTCCATAACACCTCCTATGATAAACATAAATTATTATAAGGAATTTATCGAAAATTGATTAGCTTATTCAATAATTTCAGTAACATCATCATGTGTATAAGAGGTAGGCCAGATAGTTTCTCGAGTCATAATGAGCTATGAGAGTTAGTATGTGTCATTTAAAAAAGTTAGAAGTGACATAAAATCAAGAAAAACTTAAAATTTGGCTTACGCTGATCCAACATATTTTGTTTTTGTAAGTTAGACATTTTTAAGCAGGAAACTCCTAATTTCCCAGTAAATTAAATTTTAGTAGTTTAGCAAACGTTTATTTCGTTTGCTTTTGAATATTTTTCTGAAATATTTTATTGTATTGGTCGTTGTAAATCAAAACTTGAGTATAAAATACAGATTATGAAGTGTGTCAATCGAATGAAATTCTAATGTTTTTTGTTATTGATGACATAATGTAAGAATAGACATATTTGCTATCTATATTAGATTATTTGGAACATATAAAGGAAAGTAGGCTCCAGAAAAGGTTATTTGAATATACATTTGATTCGGTTCTGCATAGATTTCAGTGGAAGTAACTTTTTTCCTACAGATACATACTAGCCAAATTGATGTGGTTCAACAATTATTTTCCTTTTTGGATTTTCGGTGGAACTCCGATTGTTTTGTCATTTTATATCATTACTTGTGAGGCACATACTATTCGTAAAGCTCAATTTAATCAAATTAATTTCATAAAAAAAAAGTCTGCCTATTAATGACCCCCCCTAAAATATATGGTATAATTTATTTCATGATTTTCGTTATATGTTCATTCCTTCAATCTTACATAATAAATACTAGAAAAACATACCTTTTTTCGTCAATTGGAAATCGAAAAGAATTAATGCCGACCTCACCCTGCAAATTACAGCAACCCACAGCTCGATACTTGTTCAGTTTTCACAAATACCAAACTACTACTTACAATGACTCACTCTGTAATAATATTCCATGCCTCAACTTGGCTCGCTTGGTAAACAGATTCAGTCGGTTACGCTGTAGATCGGCTGGGCATAAAATTCGAAGTGGGGAATCTTGACCCAAATATGGCGGAGAGTGAACTTACTTGTGTTTACTTCTATACGGTGACCACTTACAGTCCACTCAGATGATTGTGGTGTGAAATTCCGGTTTTTTATCAAGGAACAGCTTCAAACATTACTGATAATCATCAATTCGTTGTGGTTTTTGGTCGATTGTAAGCTCATGCATCATCTATTTTGAACAGACCTTTCGGATGCAAATATTCATGCACGATGTGTCTAACATATTCCTCTTATAGCTTTAGAGCCTCAGCTATCTCGATCAACTTCACTTTGCGGTCCTGCAAAATATTTTTGTAGACTTATTTGATATTTTTGTCAGTAACGGCCTCTATGGGGCGTCTTCGGTGCTTATTTGACTTCGTTTTAACTTAGCAAACCACTTCTCAACGGTTGATTTTCCTAGTGCAAAGTCCGAATAATGTTTATCTAGCCAAACTTTGGCTTCAACATGATTTCTTTTTCGTCAAAAAACAATGCTTTATCAACATATGAAATTCCTTTTTATTAATTTTTTTTCAAACTAGCAGAAGTTGCTTCACTCAAAATGTTTTATCCCATAAACTCATAGCCCGACAGCTGTGAAATTTGTACACGTGTCATTTGAAGGTTAGGGTTAACCAAAAATCATATGGACTCAATACTAGTAGCGCCACCTGTGTGTTGGTTCCTGAACTTTTTGGCCCACCTAAAAGTACCTGATAATAAATTTTTCTTGAATGTTGGTTTATTCCTTTGATGTTTTTTGGTTTGTAGACCCCATTTACTCAAAGAACATTTAAAAGAATCGAAACTTGGACATGCACAACTAATTGAAAGCAAAATGACAAGTATAAAGATTGCGATTCTCAAGATGGAATTGGTTTCAGCTTAACTTTCATTCAGAATATATATTTTTTAGAATACTTATCCAATGCGGAGCAGATATAGACGCACAAGACGTAGATGGATGGACTCCTTTACACGCAGCTGCCCATTGGGGCCAAAAAGAAGCATGTCAGTATCTGGCTGAAAAGTTGGCTGACATGGAAGCCAAAAATTATGTAGTGAGTATCTTTATTTTGTTTTTTTTGTCCCTTATACCCATGCAACATAGTTCGTTCAGAAGAACAGTATGGTCAACAACGTCAAATGCCTTTCTTAAATCAATGAACACTGCAATAACCATTCTTTTTTTATCCATTTCAGATGTAATATTATGAATGAAATCTATGGTAGCGTTTAGAGTGCTGCTACCCTTGATAAAACCATACTGATAC